CAATGTCAAGCTATTACAAACTCTGTCTTATACCTTGACTACAATAGTCACCTTTCTTGTATCACATCTTCACAATGTCAAGCTATTACAACTTTTGTCTTATACCTTGACCTTTTCTTGTATCATAAAAGTTTGTAAATGCAGCGATTTGATTGGATCCTTTGAGCCCTCACAGAAAGCCTTATAATTGATATACTTCCTCATATGAAAAGTTTATTAGCTGCTACCCATGTTTCACTAAAATGTTTTGGATTTTGTTTTGCGTTTCGGATTGTTAGAACTTAGTTTATTTTTAGGCAAGTAAATATTTAGTAGTATTCTAGTAAAAAGTTGTAGACATGGTACAAATTTCAAGGAATTCCTCCAAAATTCTTCATTCTGTTTTCTCCATTACAACGATGACTCATCAAAAACCTCAACATTTTAACATGCACTTTACATTCTGTATTATTTCACATTTCAGGCAAATTTCAAAGACTTTTACCATTTTGGGTGCCAGGGTGCCTGAGTGAGTTAGACGTTCGGCCACAAAAACATCTAATTAAATTTAGACCAAACTTTCGTTTCGTTTTTTATTGGTTTTTATTTTTAATATAGCCACTTACTTTAGGGTCTAAAGACAGCCCTCTTGATCATTCCTCTAATTAACCTTTTGACCTAACTCGATGACGTCTTCTTTAACCAATCAAATTTCTACCCTATCCAAAGGTCGAGATGATACCTTCAGATTTTTCGACCTGGTTTCTCCATGTCAGTGATGTAGGTAAGAGGGGCTGACATGGAAAAAGTTTCTAGTTGTTCAGATGGGACAATAAACCGAGGTCCCGTGTACTACAGGCTGTACACGTTAAAGATCCCTCGACAGTTGGAAATAGAAAAAGAGCAGGCTAATGTCACTGTCCTGGCAAAATTTCCCTCATTGCACACTGCATGGCGTTGCTTGTCTTCTAAACCTACATGGTGCAGAACAGTAGGACGTAAAACTCCTTTCGTTTTATTTTTACCATTCAACATTCAAGAAGTTTTTCTGAACCGTGTTTATTTTTCAATTAGAATTTTACTGCGTAGTAAATCTGACAATTTTCGTTAATTATCTAAAAACTTGAAAATGATCCAACTTTTAATGGAGGAAGTGAAAATTAATTTTACGTTTATTATTGTAAGGTAGTTTAGAGTGAAAGGAGACACTTTGCAGACTGTCGAAAGCATTGGCTGGGGCCTCTGAATTGTTCTTTTATCTTGAGTGGAACTAATTGTCTTTGGAGACGACTACTGACTGAGCTATTCCACTGTCCTAGCAGACGACAATCCAACTCGCTACTGACTGAGCTATTCCACTGTCCTAGCAGACGACAATCCAACTCACTACTGACTGAGCTATTCCACTGTCCTAGCAGACGACAATCCAACTCGCTTCTGACTGAGCTATTCCACTGTCCTAGCAGACGACAATCCAACTCGCTACTGACTGAGCTATTCCACTGTCCTAGCAGACGACAATCCAACTCACTACTGACTGAGCTATTCCACTGTCCTAGCAGACGACAATCCAACTTGCTTCTGACTGAGCTATTCCACTGTCCTAGCAGACGACAATCCAACTCGCTACTGACTGAGTTATTCCAATGTCCTAGCAGACGACAATCCAACTCACTACTGACTGAGCTATTCCAATGTCCTAGCAGACGACAATCCAACTTACTACAGACTGAGCTATTCCACTGTCTTAGCAGACGACAATCCAACTCACTACTGACTGAGCTATTCCACTGTCCTAGCAGACGACAATCCAACTCGCTACTGACTGAGCTATTCCACTGTCTTAGCAGACGACAATCCAACTCACTACTGACTGAGCTATTCCACTGTCCTAGCAGACGACATCCAACTCACTACTGACTGAGCTATTCCACTGTCTTAGCAGACGACAATCCAACTCACTACGACTGTAGGGAGTGGGGTATCAAGTCTGGGCCTGGCCTACCTGTAGAAGCCGCTGAAACTAATTTGGTATCTTTGTTTATCTTAGTTACCTATCTAATTGCGATGTTGATGTGTTGTTTATAATTATTACAACTTT